TATCTATCTATCTATCTATCTATCTATCTATCTATCTATCTATCTATGTAACTTACCAATTGTACTGCTTATTTTACACTTATACTTTTGCACTGAACTCAAACAACCTCTCTGGTTGTACTCAAAGGTTCCTCCTTACTCCTGTCGCATTAGATACAAAAAATTAAGTGAAAAGACAACACACCACATGCTTCATATCCTATTTAAGTGGTATCTGCATGAATTATGAGCTGGCCTGTTCATGTCAAAGGTAACTGTCCAGTGAAACTCCATTGCGTTACGTCCAGCCTTTTTCTACTGTGCAGGGCAGGCCCGGTCCAAGAAGAAAAACTGTACATCACGCCCATAAATCGGAGTGTACATCACACCCATAAATCAGGGTTCTTTCTGATTGACATCCTCAGGGTGCTCTGTTACTTTGAGCCCAGAGCAGCATTACCTCATCCGTGACCTGAATAAATAACACATTTGTACTCTGATCATTTCACTGGTTTATGGCTTCCAACACAAGAAGAGCCAAACATATTCACAGCCACTCTCTAGGCTACAATAAAATATAGAGAAGATATGTTCTATTTCTAGTGAATTTTCTTAACTATATGACTATATTAAGCTATATCATTTAAGGCCTTCAGCTAAATTCCATTTAAATATCTTTAATGTTTCTCTTTTTTTAAAAAGCAAACAAATACTCAACCTCAACAGCCAAATTCAACTATTTAGGGGAACTTCTTCTCGCGTGGCTCTTTCCAGTTGCACCAGCTTATTGACAAAGGGAAAATAATATTAGAAACTCTCCATTTATTCCAACTGTCAATAACCAAACTCATGACTTGATGGAATATTTATCATAATTTAGTAATCTTACTATACTATACTATAATAAGGCAAAATCCATTCAAACACATGATGCGTATTTAGAATTAATTTAGAATTAATTAAAGATGTATATGATCTATTACATGTATATAAACATATCTAAATGCTTTTTACAGAATTCACACTGGGAGACAGCCATTTTTGTAGTCTGTGCTTTGTAACGGTTTCGTTTTCACAGACGAGTGACTCATCTTCTTAGACTAAGACGATCTTGTTGTGTCCCGTTCCTGGGCTGACCAATCAGCGGAGAGCGGGTAACCGTTGCTGTTTGAATTACCCTCAAAATAAAACAGCGGCAGATGACAGTGAGTCGATACAGCTCGTAAATATCGCTCGCTAACCTGTTTTCCCCGAAAAACGTGTTCGTTTTATCAACAGAGACAAGATGTCAAAAAAGCAGATTTTCTATTCCGACAAGTACAACGATGAAGAATTCGAGTACAGGTATTTACATAGACTGTTTCCAGAATTCGTTCGCTTAATGTTAATGCTTTAGCTAACGTTACCCTATGAACTACGTTTTCTAGCTATGTTACTTAGCGTTAGGCTAACAGCTTAGCGTTAGGCTAACAGCTTAATTCTCTGTCCATAACAAACAAACGTTGAGTAAATTCGTCAAATATACTTAAATTCGTAATCTTTCTACATTTACGTTAGCGTAAATTCGTAATTTTACTAAACTAAAACTGCCTGTTTAGTTTCTAGCCGCTCGAATAGATTCGCAGACACAGACTTTGTAATTTGTCATTTTGACAGTTGACGTTTTTGTTTGTTTGTTTGTTTGAATTGTTTTGTTCTTTTGACATAATATCCATGTATTTACCTTCCAAACAGACATGTTGTGCTCCCGAAGCAGCTGTCTAAACTGGTGCCTTCGTCCCATCTGATGACAGAAGAGGAGTGGAGGGGACTGGGGGTCCAACAGAGCCAGGGCTGGATTCACTACATGATTCACAAACCAGGTCAGTAAGCAAAGAACTGTCCCACCTTCTTAAAATCCCAAATTTGAAGAACCCCAAATTGACTACAATGCCCATAAACAACAAACGAGCGTTGCTGTAATGCCTGTTTCTGTTTATGACTGAGAATATATGCATGGAATCTGAAATCTGTAAAAAGAAAATGGATCCTGTAATTTAAAAAAATCCAGATCAGAGAAAGCAAAGCTGCCTTTTTATTATTCTAGCATGTATGATGTGTGAGTATGTACAATCAGTTGAACTTATCATTATGCCAGATTGTGAATGTGCCCCCTTAAACTGTCCGCAAGACCAACTATGGTCATCTTTGCCATGAAAATAAGCATTTCACAAAACCTTTAGCTTTGGTTCAGTATCACTAGAAGGGACGGTTATTTTTAAGACCGTCATATTCTGAAAGAATAGATCCTTATTGAGCAGAGAAATGATAGAAACCGCTTTAAAGGGCTATAAAACTGATTCAATGCACGTTAAAAACTGTAGCAATTGGAAAATCGTATCAATCAACATTTTATTCTCAACAGAAAGTTTGATATTCAAGACATTGTTAATGCTGTGTCTTGAGGATGGAGACGATGTGCTGAAAATAGATTTTGTCCATTCAGATGGTGTTGCATATATCAGCAAGACGATGCTAACTCATATAGTCCGTCTTTTACGACACCATGGTTACTCGTTTCTGAACTGGCCTGCTTGTGCATAAGGTTTGCAAAGTGTGAGGGTTAGAATTAGGGCATGTGGAAAAGCAAACATGTCAACAAACACTGAAAGCAGAGAAAAATAGGACAATGTTTCTTTCCCAAAGGTCCAGAAACTGGTCCCCTCAGTTCCCACACAGCAGCAGACATGCTTTGTACTGAGATTTGTAAGACATATTGCATTCAATATATTAAACTTGAGCAAAAATTTCAAAAAGAGAAGGGAAAATCTCTTGCTTTTAACCATTGTTGACTCAAAAGATGTGCTAATCATTGCGTTCTTTCATCTACATTTCACACAGTCTAGAAAGCTTGTGTGTGTCATCACAGCTTGATTACAGTCGTTTGCAGGTATGAGTTTCTATCCAATGCTCACAGACTTGCGTTTCTTGTTTTACTCCACAGAGCCACACATACTGCTTTTCAGAAGACCACTTCCAAAGGAATAACCGGAAACAATATGTTAATATGTTGAACGTTTCCTTTGCCCACTTGGCTTTGCGTCGGACGATGCTTCTCCTCCAAGCGGATATCTCTACATATGTTTATAAGTATCGTTTGTAAACCTGTGTTGTGTGATTCTGTTCTATCAAATCTGCTCTGTTTTAGAGGTGACGAGCAACAAACTGTGATAACCTTCAGCAGCGATGTGAAGGGGGAACTGTGGCTGTGGGGTTACACACTTTCTACGCATCTTTTTTATGTCTTTTCCTGTTTTGTCCAAATGGATTTATTTCTTACTATCATAGTGTTTTATTTTGGTTCAGCCTGCAGAAGTTTCTATGTTCTCCAAACATATTTCTGCAATGTATGTATATATATATACTGTTTCAAGACTATATAATTTTTTGCCACTGAGTTATGGTTGATACAGCCAGTTCTTTGCAACTAAAGAACAAAATAAAATGTTCTTGACCATTTGACAGTTTTGTGGCTTCGTCTTAAAAAAACCAAAACAGTCAATTGTTGTTGTTGTCTTTAAACGTGTTGTGTTTAGTCAGAGAGGCTGACAACAAGTGGAGTGACAAATTCCGAGTGTCTGGTTCCCATGGAGTAGGCTGGCGCCCGGGCTTTGTGAATCGTGACCCTCTCTGGATTATAAGTCCCGGGACCGGGTTTCTTGGCGCTTTCCCTGACCGAGCTGCCCCGTCCCAGCATGGAATACGCCGGCCTCCGGGTCAGGTAAACGTTGGGGTCCGTGCTGTTGTAGCCGCAGGGCCCCGGGGTCTTCGCCAAATCCACAGAGGGGCCTCCCGCGCTGTAACTCCCCGACATGGTGTAGCTCGTGCTGGCCGGCTTGTTCGGGACCTGGGGACCCAGGACGGGGGGCAGGCAGTATCTGTTGGGGGCCGGAACTGGGTCCACGCTGCGGTACTGTGTGCGCGTGCCCATCGTGTAAGACGGCGGCCTGCGCTGAAGATTGCAAGGAGGCGCTTTCTCTGGGCTGTACGCGCCAGGCCCGGGGGTGTGGAGCAGCTCCTCTAGTCAAGACCACACAAAAACCACACGGTGGCACAGCACGTAGTTGGTAACATATAGCCGAAAATGGTAAAAGCACTTATTTTTGTACTTGTAGAAGGCAAAAACGTCAATTTATTTATTTATATTTTGTTTAGATTGTTACTAAAAATGAGCCTCACATGATTTTGAAGTAATCATTTAGATCGTAATGGAGGAAAAACTTACTCTGTGGTTTGAGTCTCCCCAATATTGAGAATGCAGGTATGCCATCTTTTCCAAAGCGAGTCATTTTTGCATCCACGCAATACAGCGGCCCGGGACTGGAGTCAACGTAATACACTGCAAGAAAGTTTACATCTATCACCACTTTAGTGGGGTATTTGATCTGATAGAGTTAAATGTGAAAACAAAAAGACACTAATTTAAATCAACCTGACCAAAGCAAACCCCATAATTATTAACTTTGCCTCCCCCTAGTGGTTAAGAGCTGACATCACACCATGGAAGCTGGTGAGATTTTATGACAAATCTTTCTACATATCAAGGTTTAAAAAGTAGTTAAAGTAATACCCTGTGAAAAACAATCCAAATGCTTTTAACTGAACTGTCTTTGTCATCGTAATTCTTAATAAGGTAAACATCCTACATTTTTCAGAAGTAAATTGGTCTAGTTAATTCTGATCTGTTAAAATAAAAATATAAAAGAGGGGCCCACTATTATGGCTCATCCTGCCATGGAAGGAGTAAGCAGGACTGGATGGCTTTGTATAGTCGTGGCCAATGAATCCAATGGTCGGGGGGAGTCCATAGTGCCCAGGTCCTGGCCCTAAAGAAAGGTGGAAACGTGAGTAACACGCATTTCTCAATTTCTAAACAACAAAAACAATTATTTCATGTTGTCTTGTGCAAGCAAATGTAAATGCTCCTATCAAACTTTTATGCACACGATGCCAATTTAATCGGAATGTAATGAAAATGCCTTGTAATTATCCAATAAACCCGAAGTTCTTATCTTAAATTCTCCTTGTGGTCTTATGTGCACCAAGCATCTTCTAACAGAAAGACCGAGCCTTGCATCAGCCCGCGAGTGCCCAGAGGAATGCACACAAGTGGAGCAAGAGGGAGAATGTTTCCAAGGCTGGAGCAAGTCCTGGCAGGTCTGCACACCACTGCTCCAATCACTCGTACAGAAAATCAAATAACCTCCTTCAAATTGGGAGATTAACACCACACCAGGGTGTGCGTCGAACTCTGGAAAAGATCAGTGCTTGTGGTTCTTATCCTGATCAACTCACCTCTTTCTTTGCCTGCAATCTGAGCGTATTTCTTCTTCATCTGAACCTTTGCAGATGAGACGGATATCTCCATTATCAGGCAATACTGCAGACACATCCATACAGAGTAATGCAGAGGTTCAGTATCAGAAGACAAGCAGCACGAAGCCAAAAGCCGGTATACCTTTTTTTGTTTGTTCCCTCCCAAAGACGAATCGTCTCCTCGGCCGGAGGCGTTGATGTTCAGTCATTAGATGAGGGTCAGCAGAGCAGCTGGGTCCTTATTCCATTCCACAAACATGGTTTAGGGGGTTGTATTTCTTCATATATCGCAGTATCTCAACAGTTCCTCAGACAGAGAATCCAGAGCACAAGACCATTTACAATCAATCCGCAATTTACCCATAAACCGCCACAGTAATGCGTCTCAAACCCTCATCCACGGAGCCCACTGTGACCCCGACACGGTCCAGTTCAGCCGCCCGGCTGCCCCTTTGTCCCCGTACCTCGTCTGTGGAGGCTCAGGCAGGTGAATGGCCCGATCCCCCACAGAGGCCGATGCATAAACGCACTCAGCTGGTACTTTAGAAACAATGTCATCACTCCACTTCACTCTCATGTAATGCTAGACCACCCCCCCACCCCTCCCACCCCCCGGGCCTACTTTTCTGGTCATGGCAACGTGGAAAAGCAACGACACCCTCCAGCCATGCCAGTCGTTGACAGATCCCCCTCCCAAAGGCCTGGAGGAAGGCAGTTTTATTCTCCAATTCTAGTCCTAGTTTATGGGTGGACTGCAAACTGTGGTCATAAATCAAAAACATACATTAGGACTATCCCAATCTTTAGTTGTCAGTTAGTTAGGCTAAGCAGCCATAACAACTTAACCCTCTCTAATCTCCCAAAGAGGCCCGAGCCGTGCTTTGCTGGAGGCCACGATAATCTAGAAGGCCGATGAGTGACGTGTGCAGAGAGCAGACATTAAACTTTAACGGGGTGCGTTCAAGTCTGCCCGGCCACCTCTGCTTCGGTAACCCGAACCTGTTGTCAGCAGTAAGACAAGGAAACGATCCGTGGACTATCCTTTAGAGAGAAAGAAAGCAACTCACAGCTTATTTAGCTCCATCCGCACAGATTTGGGCTTTAAAAATTCGTCAGGGTTAAATTATAGTGACAAAAAGATCGGAACACAGAACTATGCAAATTTTATTGTCATCCTTTGTTTTGAAAAAAAAAAAATCACAAGATTTGATAAGAACATGGAATACAATTAGTCAAATTTGGTACATTTTAAGTAATTAAACGCGTTTTTCTTTTTTTTTTTTCTTTCTGAAAGTCGATTACTTCAAGAATCAAAATCGAACAAAAACAAAATAGCTTATAAACTGTACAATCAAATCTCAAGGTAGGTGAGTGTGAGAGCAGATGATGTGGTGGGAAGTTTGAAAAGTGGAAAATTATTTTAGCTTATGTTTCTGTAAAGCATGTGGTTGGCGTAGGTCTTCTTTTTTTTTTGTTTTTCCCAGAAAGATACCGGGACAGGAATTTCATCAAACTTGTCACTTATTGGGTTAAAGCTTGCCATAAAAGAAGAAAAATGCCTTGGATAACACATAAAGAACCACAAAGGAGAAAAAAAAAGTAGGCTGTATGGATGAGCGGTGACTTAGGCATACAAAAAAAAAAACATGACCTCTACCTACAAATAAATACCACAGATATAAAATACAACAAAATATTTTTTGCTTAACATCAAGTGTAATTACAAACATAAATACTTGATTATTTCTTCTAGTGATTATAAATGCCGCACAGTGAATACCAAATATACTATGGTGCTTATTGAGGACTAGGAGTCTATAGGGGGGGCCAAAACTTGAGTTTCTCGACAAAAAATACACACTCACATTCCACCGCGCGCACACAGACACATGTGACAAAAGGCATCCGCTCGGACTCCTGTCCCCTAATCACACCAAACTCACACTCGCACTCATTCTCCAGCAAGTCTTTGTATGAGCAAGTCTTTCTTCTCTTCCCATTCACAGGCATATTCACAAATATGGTACAAGATTTGGATGTCGGTATGGCTTCGCTCGGCGAGGGATTCTGCGGAGGAGAAGAAAACAGGGTGAGTTTTTCTCCACGGGCGCACGGCAATTGACCCCCGACACGGGCGGGGGAAAACCTACCATCGCTCGGGGGTGTTTCTTGTGTCCGCGGTGGGGAGGTGCTGGACGTCTGCCTGTGGGGGAACCTTACGCTCCACGGCGCCCCCCCCGGGCAGAACGACGCCGTCCCCTCCGTCTGCGTCCGGCGGGAAGGCCTCGGCGTCCGGGTCGTAGTCGTAGGAGTAGTAGGACGCCTCGGCCATGGAGCCCTGCTCCTCCTCATCTACAGAAAGAATTCAAAGCAGAATTAAATTAAATTAAATTCAATTTAATTTCTATAGCTCCACATCACAACAACAGATATCTCACAGCGCTTTCCAAACTTTCCAAATAACGAAGTTATTTACAGAAGCCCAACAATTCCCACCAAGAGCAAGCACTGGGCGACACAGGAAAGGAAAAACTTCCTTGTTTAAGGGCCAGAAACCTCGAGCAGAAGCCATTGGGTGCGTTGCCTTTGAGGGTCGTTTTTTTTTTTTATCTTAGCAGGGAGCTGTTGACTGGGGTGAACTCAGGGTATAACGCTCAGACAGCATTTTGAAAGAATGTTCACGCATAGCCTTATTTCTAAAAAAGGTGGGTCGCTGTTTAATAAGTAATATGTAAATTCTGGATTTAATTACTGATCATACAGAGGCAGCATGTCCAACTTTGAAACCAAGAATTTGGACTGTTTTTGCTTTGATGTGGGACTTCGAGCCAAAAAACAAACAAAAAAAAGATATATAACATATAGTTTTTTGCATGGTACACAAGATAAAAGCTATTAATTTCAAACAAAAAAGAAGGCATTGCACATATAAAACAGTAAACAGAAGTAATACCACATGTAAGCCAGTGGGGGTCCCCCCTGATTATGATATTACTATTTTTCTTCTACACACCACTTAGGATCACTATGTGTTTTTTCTATTATTTGGGATACAGATAGATTTTTTTAAAAAGTTGGCTTTTTGATGACCCCTCAATAACAGGATTTAGCACAATATTAGTGCAATTATGAACTCATAACACTCATTTAAGAAATGGAACGGCCCAGAAAGAGGGAAGCACCTGGTGGGAACTCTTCACCTTTCGTGTACGTGCATGTGTTCTACTGTATGTTGACCGCGGCTGCAAGTTCACTAATAAGACAAGTCTGCACAGGGAGGCTAATTCCAGAGTTTTCCTCAGTGTCCTGAAGGAAAATGTCAGCTCCTTGGCACAGCCCACCCCTTCACCGTTTGCACTCCCGGTGCACTTAGCGGGCACGTCGTCCACCGCGTAATGATTTACAACGATGGTGTTTTTTTTGTTTTTTTTACAGTACTTATTTATTCTAATCACCGTGTGTGCATCCTAACACGTTTTCTTTGTGCTTAGCCTGCGTGGACGCACGCGCGCGCGCGCACGGATGGAAGCGCATTCCTGTGGGGAGTGAGGAGCGTTTGGATTTTATACTGAGGAGACCTTTGACCGGGAGCAGCTACCGGGAGTCGAGGGCTGGGGGGGAGGGGGGGGGGGGGACAAGTCAGCGCAGGCCACGCCACATCAAACGCACGCACGCACACGCCTGCACGCGGCTCAGACACACAAACAGACTGGAAATGCTCTGCGTGTAATGCGTAATGCGCGCGGCGGGCGTGGACAGGAGGGTCCTCGCGAAAGGCTGCAGAGCCTTTCTGAATCTCGGTTGCCAAATGTTAACACAGCCACATCCTCCCCGCGCGCGCACACGCACGCACGCAGCTAAACATCCTATCAGGAATTCCTTGGCCGGCTCCGTGGAAGGGGGCAAGCTCATGACAGCAACAATCAGGCCCGCCGTGTGAAACCTATCCACCTATTTATCACACCGATTGGAGACGTGATGTAGAGGCAGGAGAATGTGCAGCCACACACCCCACCTTAGTATCCACTTTCCACCTCTCCCTCTAACTTTTTTTTTAACCTTTATTGTTTCATGGCTCACCTCTCCATTACACTGCCAACCCCTCTCCCCTATCTTTGTCTCTATCCTCCCTTTCTATGCTTTGATCAACTCTATATCGTCCACAAAAAGTTTAAAAGAAACATATTCTGCAATCAAATATTCTCAATTTGTTCATGTATACACAGAATAAAAGATGGCGGCGGAAATCTTAACCCTCCAAAACTACATTTAGCAAATGCAGAATCGAAGATTGACTTGTGCTCAAAGCCAAAGCAGAATATTAGCCTAGTAAAGCAGTATTAATATGGAAGTTTAAGACATATGCGTACAATCAAAAGACATATAAAAAGAACAGAACAATAGAATATAGCGTGGTCATAGAGGTGATATAGGAGAGATGAGAAAAGCAAAAAGGCATGTGAGAGATTTAGGGTAAAGACAAAAAAAAGGGTATCTAAGACAACTTACTTGCTTGTACAGGCACTGAAAGTTGCTCAGTTTCCTGGCTCACTACTGGTTGCTTGTCCTTGGTAGTCTCCACTGGAAATGCAAAACACACCCACAAAAGACACATTTGAAATGATTCACATCTATGTGGCTTTCTCCTCTCGTTAAAGAAAGGAGATTTGATAAAGTTTCTGTGTTACATAAGCTAAGCGATGTTTAGAAGCATTACAAATTCCATTTTCCAGCCCCTTTCTTGGCAAAACAATGATGTACACATTGTTCCAGAATGAGGATCACAAACTATTAAATCTATCAGGGGCTTAATTGGCAACTTGTGTGAAAATACAAATTGTATGTTTCGCCTCTTAAAAAGTGCCACTCTGGCGGCGGGAATATGCCCCATCCGAGAATCCACAAACAAACAAGGTCAGGGAGCTCGAAAACAAAATCCCCGATTCTTTTGATATCCTCCGGCATGAACCACTTGGCTCGGGCGGAGGTCTTTTCCCACAGGAGTTTGGCCCGCTCCTTTTCTCCAATCTGCTCCATGAAGGCTCCTTTGTTGTTGGGCTGTGCGTCGGAAAGGAATGCGACAACGATTTCAAAGGCTGGACAAAAGCACTCTGTCATTTGGAGGGAGCCCTGTAATATGGCGGCGAGTGAGAGAGGACCCGCGAGTGGGTTTGCGTGTGATGATGGCGGGCGGCGATGGGGTTGTGCCATGGGGCCGCTTTTTTTTTCTTTTTTCCTCATCCAGTAATCAGCTCCACACCTGAACAGCTGTTTCCTGAGCTCATGGTACACAAAGATGAGAATAATCCCACTCGCAGGTGCACAACGGCAGACCCTATTATCCATACACCATTGATCTACATCTAGCTACAACAAAGCTAACCAATTGTATCTAACACACACACCCACACACACCCTCCATTATCAATCAGCTCTTGGCTGGAACAGGGGATGGATTTGTATTTTTTGGGGATTTCATTTGTGGATGGTAAATGGTCTAGCTCGCTAATATCATATCCTCCTGAGACCCGGCCCATTCATTTATGTCCATTATAGTGGACATTTTGTCCACCTGTACCCCCCCTAAGTATCTGGAGTTACCCTATCAAGCCCTATAGTGTTCTGTAGAGGACATCCTGGGCTTTCCAGTGATGTGCCATGTGATAGGTTTGCATGCTGGGAACTTTACTTTTTTCCTAAGAGTTCTTAGGTAAATATCCCTTTCAAGACATCTTCTTGTTTATTATTTAATTATCTAAAGCCTGTTCTATTTTCCCATGCAAATCGTCCTGTTGTCCTCCACAGTGGACATGCTATGAAATTAAAATTAAAAATATTTAAAAAAATAAATCAATTGTAATGTTCTTTTTTAGATCCAAATGCATGGAAAATCACAACAAAAAATAAATTTGAAGACACTTCTTTTCTTTGGGTCTCAGGAGGATATGTCCTTTTATAAATGTAAACATATATAGAGGGTGCTGGAGCTGTGCTGGAAGACTGCGCTACCCAGAATGCTTTGCTCCCCGGTATAGGAAGTAGAATACTGTACATATCTATAGCTCCTTCGATGGAGGGGATATTATTGTCTATTCACCAATAGGTGAATCAATCTATTCACCAAAAGGTTGCCAAACCAGCACCAACTGAGTATGTGATCTATAAAATGAGCTCACCAGGGTCTGATAAAATAGTTGTTGCCAGCCCTGTTTTTGCAGGTTCTCTGAATGGGAGACCAAATTCAAATTATTAGCCAAAAGATTTGTAATTTTTGACAGTGAAACGTCAGTGAAAAGCCCCCCCCTTACACTGAATCCACTCTCTCACTCAGCCAATTTGAGCATCTGACATCAGAGGAGCAGACTGGGGGTGAACGAGGGACAGGGGTGGGGCGCACAACTCCAAAATACCTTTTGCAATCTAAAATGTATTTTCTTTTAATGGACCCTGGTGTCCCTCTGTCCAAATCATACAACATGGCCAAGTTTAGAGGACTACATTACCCAGCAGCCTTTGCCCAATCTAAATAGTCTTTTATTCCCCAGCTTAGCTGGGGTCTCCCACTGTCCAAACCAAACTACATGGTTGGACATGGAAGACTATATTACCCAGAATACTTTGCCCATAGTGAATGAATGGCTCTCCTGCCTCCACAATGTACTATTTGGTCACATTGTTGGACCTCCCGTTCGTTTGCTCGATCCAAGCGTGTCATACATCGTTGTGTAGGATTTTTTCTACTCTTTCAGCCAATGCGACCCCCCCTACCTGCTCGCCCCAACGGTATTTAGTCAACGGGCCCCGGTACACTATGTTTCTCTCCTTCTGTGCCTCTCATAAGCTCAAGCCACCACTCTGGAGAGCCCAAATGTCAATTCTTTGACCTCTCCAGAAGTTCCCAGGCTGGTTTTGAGGGCCCCAGAGAGCCACGATGGGGGTCCAAACCGGCAGTAGATGGGGCCCCCCCATCAAAATGCCTTTAGAAATGGTCTAGTTCCAATTGCATACGGAACAAGTGAGTGGGGATAAACAAAGGAAGATGAGACTGAGTCCCTGCACAAAAAAAAGGGATGGTAGGGGTGGATGTGCTTTGAAGGCCAGTTCATGACACAATTTTAAGCTATTCCTTAAAATTGAATTTAATTTAATTTAATATACTTTATTGATCTCCAGGGAGAAATTAACTAAGAGAAGAACCGGGAGTCGAGCGGCGCTATTTAGATAAGAAGTGATGATGGCGGGTTACGTGAATGGCTTGTTTTTTTATGAGAGCAGCCGGTAATTGTTTTTTTCCGACTGCCGGCAACAAAAAAAAGCAAACAAACAAACCAAATAACAGAGGCTAGAAAAATATTTGAGTGCCTCATACTTTAAAAAACTTTTTTTAAGTATATCTAGCTAATTGGGAATATTTTTTAATTAAATTTCCACCCCTGGACACAGTTACTAAGTCTGTGATCAAATCAGATGTTTGGTGATGTGCACTGAGAGAAGTCTTACTGTACGGGCAGTGGGACAGGGGAACCTGCTTAATGCGGGTCCCGTTCCGACAGGCGAAGACCTCCATCTGACACTGGTTCTGGTAGAGCTGACCGTCTGACCCGCACACGGGCTCCCCGTCGTAGCCGCAGTCCCTGTAGCAGGTGCAGCGCTCAAACTGCTCCTCCTCCAGACAGCCAAACACATTATTGCACTGGTTTGCCTGCGCAAAACCTGCCGGGAGACACTTTTTTTTCCAATAGATTGTTGATAGCATCAGAAAAGCGTGATGGGCGTCGCACAAATATCCCACCTGTCCACTGATTGGTCGAGCTCTCCACCTCGTTGCAGGTAGGTCCGTCGCACAGCTCTCGTGCTAAGGGACTGCTTTCGCTAACGTTGTAGAACCTGGTGGCCTCAAAAGCTGCGTGACGAGCACCCACCCAACAACAAAACATTCACACACACACACCAAAGAATGATTACATTAATCAGAACCTGTTAGAAGCTTCAGTTATTTCAAATGCTCTGTGGTTTTCCTGATCTTTGACAGCTGTGGAGATTAGCTGGAGACACACCTGGTTCGTAGTAGTCATAAATCTTGACGGGAACAGGCGCCGTCTTTCCCACAACGTACTCCCTGGCAGCTTGGAAGGCTACACACGTCATGCACTGACTGGGAATCTGAGGAAATCGAATACACAGACGTGTGCATGTGAGAACAAGAGCGAAAAAACCTGAACAAAAACAACAACACACGCCTGAAAGAAATCAAATCAAATCAATCCAAAGCTGTGTAAACCCAACCGTACGCTTTCTGAACGTGCAGACAGGCGTGGCAAGGAACTCACCTCGTCAAAATAGAACAACACTTTTCTTCCGTCTAACTCGTACCTCTTCAGACCCACTCTCTTGTCCATCAGTAACTGTAAAAAAAAAAAAGGGGGGGGGGTTAGTACAACATGCAGATAAGTAGGCCAACACAAAAAAAATGGAAAAGCATGAAAATGTAAGTTGATCTTAGAGCAGGTTAGTAGTGAAACTGCTTTAGAGTGCTGCAGTGCTCTGGTTGGCATAAAAACCAAATCTTGGAAAAAAAAGTTTAACAGATCGCATGACAAAGTTCATGGTAATGGAAATGTAAAGCTATTACAAATTGAAAATAATTACACCATGGCTTGTGGCCAAGATCAAAGTAGAGTTGAGTCCTAATGTTAAAAATACGCACACACTAAAGTACAATTATTTACATTAACAGTAATCAGCACCACAGTGGACCGGACAGCTCCACTTAGTGTCAACTGGAGTTTAAAATTCAAATTTTAAGATTTCTGTAAATGTAAAACACAAGCCATAGAGATAGCATGGGTTAATTAAACATAATATTATAAAGTATATAATTTTGGTTCTAGACCTTGGTTTACAATGCTTTAGCGGGGGTTCTCCCTTTTTTAACTGAAACGGACCACATTTAGAATTTCCTATTTTTCTTATTTCTTTCCCCCTAATTTTAAATTTTTTATGTAATACAATCCATTTTTCTTATGTGTTTTGTTCCTCTCAATTGTCTCTATAGACACAGTCTTTTTCCTTCAGGGATAGCCTTGACTCGCATTATAGCTGTGAACTGCTCCAATTCACTCTGGAGGTATTCTTAAAGTACCCAACGGAACCACAAAAATCAGCGATGCATCCCCGAGATTCTAAAACCAGTCACCCCCACAAAATTCCTTTGAGAACGCAGTTGTTGAGTCCACAAAGAACACACGCTCAATCTGAAATGATCGAATGACAAAGACCTGGTCCATTGTCCCACCACTTGGAGAAAAACCACACAGTACCCTCCCCGAGTCTGAGAAATGGGCCGTTAAGGGTAACACAGAGCTGTCACTGGACTGGACCCGTAGCTAAAGCCCCCATGATAGCAACTAAATAACCGTGGAAGCCAAACTTTCGGCTATAAACTGTTGTAGTTGTAAAAAATGGAGGCCAGCGGAGGCATAAAAAATTAGCTTGTTAGCCAAAACATGTCATGGTTGTGAGTGTAACATTTATCCAGGTAGCCACGGGGGAGATGCAAACCCACAGACTAAAACGGCCTGTAATCAGCCCCAAACTTTATCCCAGACTCGTAATTTCTTGATATTTCTGCTATTTAATTTGGGCTTATCCGTCTTACTTTTCTACACATGAGTTTAGATGTTTATGTGAATGCATTCTGTGTAACGTCCTCATGTGTAAAACTGTGTAAAAGAGAGTGAAAGGCTTGCATTTTTTGTCAGAAAACAGGATGAGCCTGATATATCCCGTGATGCGCTGCTTTTTTTGGGAAATGGCTCCCATATGTGAATACATCTGTCTTTGTTTCTTACCTGATTATTTGTCTTGTCGGTAAGACTAACCAACAGGCCAGTGAGTGTTTGTGAACGAACCTCGACGCGATTACGTACCCTCTCTAGGCTTTCGACATTTGCCCGGAAACCCGAAATCATTGGAACTTCTATGACTGCCATGTTAGACGAGCCTGAGTAGAGCCACCTGGACAAAAGATTGATTTTTTTTTAGAAATCCGGACTGGGATGGGTTAAGTGAGAAGCAGCTGGAGCTGGTTTTCGTGGTCAGCTAATACCTGGCACAAACTTCTAAGGAGATGTGGAAATCCATTTTGTCCTGGTGCGCAGCTGGGTCGTCGTCATCGATGGGCGCTCGGCGCTTCCTGCTCAGTTCGGAGCGGTTGTCGGCACGACTCCGCGAGCGTGAGGCAAAATGTTGGGATGAGGAGGAGGAGGACGAGGGAAATTGAAGGTGTTGCTCCTGAAAAGGCTCTTTCAGTTCCACTTTGAGCTGAAAGGCGGGCTTGGTTACAGGGTCAGGAACATTGTAGGACACATCAATCTAGTGGAAAAAGGAGGGAAAAGCACGAATGATTTTTAAGAAAATAGCTTGTAAGAACAACGGAGATAGGTAGGTTCTTGATTTTCAATACTGTTCTAGCTTAACTGTCGGCTGAACTGATGTCCACTTTACTTAAGTTATTCTTTCTATAGAGTGGCATGATATTTAGAAGTTAGCATATAATATATGTAGCACCTAGAAATGATACCAAAACTGCCTGTATTTAATCTGGTGATGCAGGAAATATGGAACATCTCAGAAATACTGACCTGATATTGTATACTACGCAGAATTCAGAAAAATACAAAATACAGCATGTAAACCTAACCAACCAGAGATATGATTTGGGCTCTTTAAAGTTACAATTTTTGCTACTTTTTGTTACAATGAGGTTGCAGTTATCCATCTCATGCTCTTTGTGGCGTTATGGTTTTACACAAGAGCATGACAAATGAAAAAAAACAAAACAAGAGATCATCTTGACAGCAACATTAAATAATTCTTGGGTTGTGGCATCAACAACACCCAAACGGTTTAAATATTCAGGAGCTTAGGTTCTAGGGCCGGCAGAGTCAGTGAGAAAAGAAAGCTTTGAAGTATCAACCACCCAAAAGTCTCTCTGGAGAAAGACATACATTCAGCAGACTGCTATTTCAATCCAGTAATTTGAGACATTTGCAAAGCTACTAAATGACAATCATGAGGCGCAAAGTACAGTAGATTACATATAGTCTGCCTGACATAACGTACACATTTAGGACTCTGTGATTGGCCTGCTCTTCAGTTTAATCAGATATCAGGTGCTGCAGGCCCTCAGGGCTGTCAGGGAGGTGTGTGGACGCACAAAGGGATCAAAGGAAAACTTGTTTGTTTGTGAGAAACCCGCCGAATAGAGGGAGCTGAAGATAACTCGTGCTCCAAATGACTAACCGGAAAACCTTCTTTTGTTGTTGGATGTGTTGCATTCTAACCAAATCACAAAGATAAATCATGAAGTAGAAATTTTGGAAAACGGGCTGTTAACATATGTGATCAGATGCACTTTTACACATCACGAAATTTGGCTTTAAAGCTGATTAATGTTAAATTATGAGTCTTAACTGAAAATGAGGAGTTGGCTGGTTGACTATAAAGGCCCTCGATAAAACCCCTAAACAATTATTTGCTCTCTACTGAATAATTCAGACTTTCATTTTATAATTTAAGGGACAACTTTTGGTGTGAATTTGTGCGCGTGCACGGTACCTGCATGAGGCAGCAGCCTTCTCCTTTGGCGCTGACAAAAAGCCCTGTGGGAATACTCGGGATCTGAAAAAGCAGAGGGACAAAAGAGAGTCAGAGGGGGCAGGGAGAGGCGAGCGAGTCGTTTATCAAGTCCATGAATGCTGTGGGCTGCTGCACTGCCATCAGTGGCTCCCTGGCTACTAACCAGGAGGCTTTAATTACCCCAATTAAGCTGACACCACTAATCACAGCATGCCCGGCAGAGGGAGAACCCATCGGACTCTCACCTGAACTGCCTGCACTGCCTCTGATGGATCATTTAGTGCACACAGCTTTGGGAAAGGTAAGTCTCCCCGACACTTTTCGGTTTTTTATGGCAAAGGGAAGGCAAACTGGCAAGTAAAGCACGATGCATTAACACAGGCTCACCTGGGCTGGTTTGTGAGTAAAAAAAATAAGGGTCCTGGCTAGTTAACTCATTGGCTGCCAAAGACGTCTATAGACGTCTTTTATGTTTTTCAACGCGAGTGGCTTGGGGGACGATCTGCTAAAGCTTGTCCATAAATATCAGGCTTCTAGACAGAGTATGTACTAACAAATTGACCCTCTAGGTAGCAGTGCCACTTTTGATGGGAGATGAGCATAGACTGTAGGCAAATAAGAAAAACGTAATGGTTCACTATGCGAAAAATGGCGCCGGTGAGACGCAAGTCGAGGAAGAACGGAATAAGGTAGAAACAATTTTTTTTTCCTGATGAAACAAGAGAGTCGACTCTTTCTTTTGGTGTGTTTGATGTTTACATAGTCATAGCACAAACTATTCTGTGGCTCTTGAAAAATCAGTCAAAATGCTCAAAAAACTCTGGCAGTATGGGTCTCTCTGTTCTGAAAATGGCTGGCAGTCAATGAGTTAACAGCTGAAAAAGCAAACACGAATGACTGTTTAACGCCTGATTGGGACTCAGGTACATATCAGCTCCATGAGGTGTTCCATGAAGAGCTGGTAAGACGTGCAATTGCTAATAATTCCGATAAAGAGCTGTCAACCTTAAGCACAAACATACCAAATAAGATAGCAAATTACCTCTACAGCCAATAATGTGTTGTGTTCCCCATTTACCTTGGCACTCTGAAGGAGTTTCTTGTTATCCCTGTTTAGTTCAAAGGTCTCTTGGAAGTCCAGGTTGGTGGAGGCCAGCGAGATGGTGAGGTTCACCTGCCCCACATAAGACAGGATGGCATACTCTGACAGGGCGTGCAGAGCCACGCACGTGTCCTAAAACAAGATTTAAACCAGATAAGTGGAGTTTTGGGATCAATAAAACATCATATGTTCAGAAATCATGGCTCATCCGTCAAGATGTCTTAAACCGAGCTACCAAAGGAGATGAAAGGTACTCTAAGAAACCTGATCAGATGAAAAAAAGACCTACCTGAGTGGAGGAGAAGCCACCCAAGGCATTTCTGTGTTGAGAGAGCCATTTGACCACAGGCAATGCGGACGCCACATCCCCCAAAAGGGTGTAGGTCAAAAGACCATAAGCTGTCATCTCCACCTCCGCTGACACCACTGTGATCCAATAAAAACGAACTTTAAAGAGTATTCTCTTACATCTTTTCAGTTTTTAGCGTTAAACATACGTATTAAACATATAAAAGATACAAAGAAGCTATTTGTCTGCGTGCATTAATCAAAACTAGGGAATAGTCCTGCTGGCTCCGATATTTTGTTGTAAATAAGATACCTGACTGTGAGAGGCCATCGCTGAAGCCCATGAAAGTGTCCTCATTGGTTACTGTGCTGCCGGTCAGACTCCAGTGAGTGAGTCCATCTGCGTGGTCAAATAAAGACATCAGACAAATGAGGAGGGCAGGGGGGGGGCTGCTGTGTATTATGTATCATCTCCTGACCAACTCTTTCCATACCTATACCAGCAAGATCAGCATTACCATTCCGTTTAGAAATTTAAGTGATTGGGAACAAATTGAAAGAGCATTTTTGTATTTAGCCATCATATCCGACTCAATCTGCAAAAAGTACTTAAAATAAAGTGCTAATCAGACGGATTAGAGGGAAATGGCCAGAGGAAAACAGGAGATAAGTGAGATGTGAGATAAGAGAAAGAGTGGGCTAAAGGGGATTGAACTTCTGTTAAGAACACTAGCAGCTTCTTTGGAAATAATTTCTGTGCCGTAGGTCGTGCTGCCTCTGAATGTCGGCTGTAACTTTACATCTGACCAATGAAAGAGCATCTCTGTGTCGTTTGTTTAGCTGCTTTGCACGTCTTGGCACCCATTCAGCTCTCAAACTACACAGTTTGTTTTGTGGATGACCGGATACAGTCAAGACTCCACTCTCTGGAGTAGTTCAAATCAGTCTTAAAAACGTTTTCTTAAAAAAAAAAAAAAGTTCAAGCATAAAAATATGCAGAGGTTCGACGTACAAGGAAAGAAAACACTGAAATCTGATCCACAAAATTCAAAGATTGTAGTGTTATGTGTGGATATTGCTCATGTTGAAACTTATTTTTCTAAGCTGATTCTGCTATGCAGTCATGTTGTATAAAAGCATGGATGCAGTCTTGATCTTCCCTCTGTTTGGTTTGTATGAACTACGAAAAAGGGGACAGTGACTGCTAAACAAGGAAGACAAGATGGAACGGTAGTATGTACATAGTTTCTTAATTCTAAAAGAACAGATAATTTTTTTATCCATCCATCCATTTTTGTACACCCTGGATGGTCCACCAGTCCATCACAGGGCCTCTTTGTTTTATATTAATAGTAAATAATAAGGCTATTGAATGATAACATCATTGTAAAACTAATACAGAAAAAAATAAACTTCATAAAACTGTCAATTTAGTTGAGTTTTTCCATTGCTTTTCATCATTGGCCAGCACAGAATCAGCAATCAAACCAAAATTCAGATACACTTGCTTTAGTTATTTATCAATCACCTATTTTCTTGCTCATATAGGTTTTGTGCTTCACGCCAAATTAAAATATACTGTAGTGAACTGAATGGAGAAAGAGGCCATTACGAGAAGTGCTTTCTGTTAAAAAAAACATCTTTTAAAGTAAGCAGCCAGTTCTCAGTTAACCTCTAGTTAACCCTTTAAAGCCCGATTCAAGAAAAATAGGAAGAATATTGGATTTTTTTTTCTCTGAAGTCTTTCTTTGGGCCCTCAACAACATATAAAGAAAAGAAAACAGAAATAATTTTTATCAAATTAGCCTGCAATAAGTCAAAAATATATTTTGGTGTAGTCTTCTACTGGCTGTTATCAAGTATATCTGAATGTGTACAACAGGGGTTTGAGAAAAGCTTTAACCATTGAATGATGCAAAAAATCTCAGATCCAAAAGACTTCAGAAACCGTATCAAATACGACACATTTAGCATTATAGGGTTAATTCCTGTTCATGAACCTTGCAGATGGCGCTTGAAATTACAAGATAGTAGCAATTTTGTGTGTCTGCGCAGGTAAATCTCTACATTTCACTTTCTTTGCCCCCCTATTCACCGTAACTGCGATCCAGGTGACTAATCTTTCGCAGAATGAAACCGCGGTGATATGGACGGTACCTTGTGCGATGGCCATGTGGTTGAGTCGGCGCAGGGCCAGTGGGGCGTAGCGGCTGCGGAGCAGAGCCAGGGCGTAGGCCGACAGGGCCGTGGTGTAGGGATCGTCTGCAGAGTACGTGTTCATCTCTAGGAAGTCCTTGGCTTTGGCCACTGCCATCGTCTCCTCCTGTGGCAGAAGTTTTCATTTCCCATCATCAATTCACGACTTATGAGCTGCAGTATAACATTCTTTTAAAAATCAACTGTGAAAGGTTGAGTTTGGTCTCCCCAACGCAGACTTTTTTAGATATTTGCAACTGAGATCATTTCTAATGTCTCATAAAGACTGGGAAAAAATATTACATTCCAACCCTATAGAACAATTTCTTGTCAAACAAGTGGTCAATGAAGACAAAAAAATTATTGGTAAATTGAATGATATATTTCTGTCTCTAAGTACTTGTAACTCACTAAATATCAAACAAAGATGGGAAGCAGAGACCTCGATGAACATATCAGACGAGACTTGGGAAGAAATATGTACGGAGTCACACCTTGTCACAAATTCAAACACTTGGCGAGAATTCAAATGGAAAGTTGTGACTAGATTCTTTAGAACACCAGCTATATCGGCTAAAATGGGACCGAGGCACTCAGGATTATGTTGGAGAAAATGTGGAACTGATAATGCTAATCACACACACATATTTTGGAAATGCCCCAAATTAAATCAGTTTTAGAAATACATTTTTGATGCCCTAAAAGTATCATCCCATCTAATATAGTCATTGCCTTATTGGGAGTAACACCAAAAATTATCACTACACAAGATGGAAAATATATTTTGAATATATTGACAGCGGCTCTAAAATGCATAACTATGGCTCAAACCTGAGCCTCCTTGCTACAAAATATGGATTCAGAAGGTCTGGGGTATATACCAAATGGAATATATAACATACTCCCTGAGACTACAAACACCCATATTCAATAAACGTTGGAGACCTGTTGTTCCACTATTTATGCAATTAGGTTGTTTTTTTTGTTTTGTTTTTTCTCACACTTTTGAAATCACCCTGTGTTTGTGTTTTGTTTTTTTATGTAAAAAAATGTAAAAATACACATGTACATTCGTATCACATTGTATTATTTCTGACAAAATAATAAGAATTTTGTTTAAAAAAAAAAAATCAACTGTGGAATCTCTTGATCTGACCGTCTTGGTACATTTGAGTTCAGTTTGTTTCCCACTTTCCTTTAACATCAATAAAACCATCTAACTGTCGCCCATTTATTGACATGAGGTGACTTTAGTATCAGTTTTACACACACAGTTGCTCTCTAGAGGCTGCCCCATCTAATTGCGCCACAGTCCTTTTCTCGGAAAATGTAGTTACCAAATAAACAGCCATTGAAAAGCTGAGAGTTGACTTTCATCTCATGCATATGTGACCTCTCCCTCTCATCTCTGAGATGAGAGGGCTGCAGAGCCACTCGCTGTAATTGCAGCCGTCATCTTTTAATTAAGTGAAATTGGACGGTGGATTGAGGCCCTGCTTTGAAGGGATGGCTACCTTTTTTCAGTTTTTATCAGTTGTTAAAGGCTAGATTCTTGGAAGAATCTCTAAAAGAACAGACAGTTAACCAAAGAGCAGAGATAGATGGATAAAGAATAAAATGAAGAATAAAGTACTTGGACAACAGAAGATTAAAGACTAAAACAATCAGAGGATTAGATTTTTTTCTGGTGTTTGGCTTTCATGATATGCATAATAGAAGTAGAAGATTGTTACTGTTTGAACTTTCTTCTTCTTTTTTTTTTTCCAGCGTGAGCACAATCATTCAGTATGGCGAGTATAAAGGAAGAATGTGAGGGAAGAAAAACAAACAGGAGAAACGCAAATGAAAGAAAGGTATTTTTCGAACGGGGCTAAACTGTCTCTGCATGTCAGGCTAAATCTTTTGAGATGGTTCCAACGTGATCGCACGTTGCATTAAGAGCGCTGGGGCATAACAAATCTGAGTGGGCTGACTGCCAACACATCCACCTTCACAGCTACCCAGAACGCAGCGATAAGTCCTCATGTCATCCGGGCGTGTCTGATGGATTACACTGGTTTAAATCCAGCAGGTAGCACACCAGGGATGGTTTCTCATGATTGATATTTAAATAAATAACCATTCAACGCGCTGCAGCTGGTATAAATTAGATATGTCAGGGCTGTGAACATTTGTTTTCAGCTGCCAGGTGAAACACTGTTTTGTTCCTTTGAAAAACTCCTTTAAACAGACTCTGCTGGGTTTATTTAACCGGAGTTCTTACCTCTGCGGTGATTCCCGTCTCCAGGAGAGCCGTCACCACATACGCTGTGAGGGAAATCTTCCCGTGGATGCCTCCCTGTGAGCAGAATCACACGTTAATTTCTGTTTTTTGGCACATCCCCAAAAAAAAACTCCCTCATATATTTGTATTTTACGCCTCTTCTCGGGATGCACATGGCTTCACTTTATGATAAAACTCAACCAAGATCATCAACTGACTATTGACTTCTATCTACCATCATTATCCCACCATAACCATGTCGGTAAAAGAATATCTACTCTGTAATACGTGGATTTAAGAGTACGATGCTGTCAAATCTTATTGGCTTGAGCCAACTTCAACTCTAGTATTTAAAACAGTAGCAGGACTGTCTGCAGCACATGCACATGACGGCTATAAAACATCTTCCCAGTTGTTTTTTTTACCCTGTAATCCATCTCAAACATCCTAATTATTGTGCTGTCTGTATAACAGCCTCCTTGGTAGTCAATGAATTGGGACGAAGTGTTCCCACTTAACCAATTCTTATATTTGTGGCCACTTGATTCCTCTCATTGCATCTTATCTAATCAAAGATGTGAGCTGATTCTTCAAATAAAGATGATTTAAATAGGTTTTAAAGCCATTAAAGCCAAGAGGAATACAAGTGTTGATTTACTGATGAAGTTAAATATTAGCAAATTAACTCTGAAGATGAAATATCCCCATTGCTCTCGGTAAGGAGAATTTGAATGAGTGAAAGTGTTCCTACTTGAAAGACGGAGAAAAGAAAACTACCCTCCCGCTTTACCTGCAGGTCTTTGTTGAGGATGCGTCCCATGGCGGGGAAAGAGCCGTCCTCCCGCTGGTGTCTGATGAGCCACGACTTTGCTGCGCGCAACTCCTCTTGATCGATAAAGATGAAGCCCCGGGACTGAGCAAAGGACTTCAACACGAACGCCGTCAACCTAAAGGGGTGGGTGGACAAAGAAAAAAGAGTGAGGAAACTACCTCAACCTCCTGAGGCCCAGCATCCTCATATGAGGACATTACAGTTTTGCCTCTCTTTAACATGATAATTCATTTTTCTTTTACATTTTCATCACTTAGCCATATAGTAGATGCTATCAGACACAAATCTTTTTAATCTACCTTTTTAATCTCATACCTTTTCAATCAATCATGTCCTTATTATGTAATTAAAATGATGTAATCAAGACATCTGGACCTTCAGAACCCAATTTCTAAGTAAAGATTTGGATACATAAATACACATTTTAAATAAAAATATATAAACTAATGAAGAAAAACTACCAGTACCATGACAAAGTCTATTTATTAAACTTATTAAGTCCTACTAATCCCATATATCTCGGGCAAAGTGTAAACACACACCAAAAAACCTCAGGAGGTAAAAGCCTGTGCTATCAAATCCCTGGAAATGGTTTTTCGCATTCAATTTGACTTTTGAAGACATTCACCATTTGCGTAGACAACCTTAAATTAGTTTTATTTTCATATAGTTGCATGTTTTCAGCCTGTCACAGATAGGGAGGAACTTGGAAAGCACATAGATGAAGGGATGTTTTTTTTATGTGTGTAAAAGGTCTGTTATGTATAGATGGATTTCAGGAAAGGGGGAAAAAAATGAAAGGAATGATGATGGGAGGAGATGGGTGCGGCAAAGTTTGATCAATGTTACAGGACGGGGCAGCTGCGCTCCGGAGAATGCGAAATTGAACCCGAGCCAGTAGGTTTATGTTCCGATTGTGAGCTAAAGATTCTCCGGCTTCGTTCTGCGACTTATGCGAACGCAGGGGCCAGGGATAGAGCCCTGCGAATGTGTTTGGCCTGGGAGTGGAACTTAAAGTTTATGGGCCGTGTTTTTAATGGACCATGGTGGAGAAGAACCAGGGGAGCAATGGAGGAAAGCCAAGCTCAGCCCTGGGGACAACGCTAAACTAATAAACATACACTTATCCATAAACAGACCTCCCGGTAGTGGTCAAAAGTTGCAATCTTATAACTGCCCAGTGACAGCAAGACATTCCATTACAGCACCCTTGACCACAAGTGACTTGTAACATGAGGTAAGCTGTTTACCGTGATAGGAAAGAGAAAAATTACATGGAAATGAGGGAATACACAAACAGGTCACACTTTTACTTCCTCAAAGCAGCTTGTTAGTGAGATCATAATCCAAGAATGGAGCACCAGGGGGAATGTGGAGGGAAAAGAATCGCACTCTCATAAACAGAAACAGTAAATCTTCCTGGATTTATTTCCCCTCAGAGACGAAACTGATGCAAAAGGGCCGTTAAGACTTTTTTAAAATAATATTAAGTAACATTGTGTGAGCGGTTTTAAATGTTGGGCTTCGGGGAAAGACGCTTGGAAAAATGTAAATGTGAGTAAGTGTGGGTAAGAAAGGAAGCACGATGAGAACTGACTTCCACCCCTTTGATCCAGGCGAGATTCCCCCTTTAATGATTCCTTCCCTCTTTCATGTATCCTCCTAAATTCCCACTCTAAGCAACTGTTATCCAGCTGCACACTTCAAACAAGGACTCTTAAAAAAGAAATACATTTTTACTCCATGATAAAGCCCAAGTTGAGACATTTTATGACTTAGAAAACGTCCTGTTTTCACTATTTAGTATGGTAGAAGTATGATAAACATACAGATCATCTTCATCATATGAGGAACAAAACAAAAAAATGCATTGAAGCAAACAAAGGAAAAAGTCAAAGTAAGATTTTTCTGGTGGGTTTGGCTCTGAAATGAACAGAGAAATCAGCCGGTGTAGCCACCGGTATCAGTTCCTTCCATCTCTGGTATTTAGCCCCCCAAACCCTGCTCCCACGGCTGGATCCGTCCATAGGCAGACGCACATGCCATGCCAGCCTGAACATGTAGAGCCAACCACTGACACCCTCACTGAGAGAGAAATTAAAACGGTCCGCGCCATTCCCCAGAAAATGATCGCACCTTTGTTAGAAGTTAACGGCTCAGAATTTCTTCATCTGTGGGAGACTATGGGGGCAGAATGCGGCCATTTAAAGACTTTCTAACTAGTCACTTTCACCCTCAGGGTGTAGAGGATTCAGAGGTGCTAGGGAGTAAAACATATCTAAAATCTAATCATTCCTATGTTAATATGTGAATATTAAGTGTAACCTCCTGTTGCCATTAGGATTTATTTGTATATTATGTATATTAGGGAAAGAATACAGTCAATTAAAGACCTTTACAATAAAAACAGTTGGGAGCTTTATTTTCAGTATCACTGAGAGACATAAGATAGATCCTGGCTAAAATAATGGATGCTTATAATAATTGGATGCTTATAACAAAATATGTATATTTATATATACATAGGACATATATATATAGGACAAAACAACTTGTCAATGCATTATATCTCTTACATATTGGATTAAATTCAAACCCACACATTAAAAATTACTCTTATTAAATTACTCTTTTAGATTAACATGATTATTTTTGACAAGAATTGGAGCATTAATGGCTAGATTGACAAACCCGAGGATATGTCTACTCCATACCAGGTCTGGAGATGAATTGAATGGTGAGTCTGACTCCCAGGCATGTTTAAAACCTCAAATTCAGAATCTCTGAGTGAACGCCGTATAAAACGTTTCCTGCGAATGCTCAACTCTGCACTTTTTAAGATCCCAGACACATCTTAGATATCCAGTGTGTGTTTTTATCAGCTGAGACTTTCATTTTTGTGTTTTCTGCTCAAATTCCCAACATATTGTCTGATAAATGCTGTCCAAAGACACCTTCACATGCAAAGTCATCAAACCAGGAACCCAACCAGCAACTTTTTGACAGAGGGATGACTTTTATATGCTAACAAACTGGATGGAGAGTCATAACTCTGTACCATCAACATCTCAGATCAGGCCACATGATTTTTTATTATTTACAGGTTTCCATAGAAAAATAGTCAACATTTGTGTTAATACTCTATGGAATGGAACACATATTCCACAAACCACTGCTGCCAGTCTGTGTCGTTTATTCGGGATTATTACAAGCTGTCAATTTCCACTCCGACACATTTTTTTCGCATGCTGAAAACCATAAACGCAGAATTATGGCTGCTTTTAAGCAGGCAGTAAAAAGCCCCCTTGTACTTCTGAACTCTGGAACCGAAAAACAAAGCCAGGTTTGTTTTGGATGCATACGGGGCTTGTTGATTGATTCCTAAACCCCCTTCTTGTTTCCCCTTAGTGCCAAAGAAAACTCCAAAGTGCGGCTTGTCACGGTCGCATATCCTCTCTCGTAGTCGTTAGGTGAAAAGTTCAAGATTCTTGCGGCCGTTTAATATTACCGGCTCCGTCCGGGTTGTGAGCCAGTGAGTTTGGAAAGCAGGTATCATTTCTATTTCCCGAGAAATGTAAACAAAAAAAAAGGTAAGGAGTCATTTGGAGCGGTGGCTCCAGACGACCAATAACCATGTCTCCAAAAGTGGCATTTAAAGCTCGTTTGTGAGGTCAAAGCAATATGGGTCCGTTCAGTGACTCGGATGTGAACCCAGAAATAACGGCAAATAAGTTTCCCTGCCTCGGGGATCCAATTACGCAGTTTGTTTATGATTCTCTGTCATTTATATAACCTGCTGTTTCACAGTGTTAGCCCTATTAGATATTATTATACCCACCTCAACTCATAAATTACCCAGAGGAATGCACGTTGCTCCTGTGCCTCCAAATACAAGCACAGAAGCCCCACTGGGAGAGTTCATTTGAGATGTGAAAACACTGAGATAATTCACTCCACCTGCCTGCCCTGATAATATAGAACCAATTCTATTCCTAGGCACCAACAGGAGGAGATTCATTTAGATCACGCTGGCCCCGGGTTTTGTTTAAAATCACTCTGTTCCGGCCCTTAACCTATGACCCAGTTAAAGCTAAAGAATGTTACTACTGCTAAGCATATCTGGGATGGTATGAGTTGTGTAAACTTTAACAATAAAAACCTGCAATGACTCACCACATACTGCCAGAGGAATCCCTTTCACCAAAGGCACTATAGGACCCATCCTGCCGTTTGTAGGTTAGTTGTCTCTGGTAGCCTGGAAGGAAAAGATGCACACACTGTTAAGATAAAAAAAAAAAAACTCTGCCCCACTTAAAAGAAAAAGCTACAAAGATTTATCATACACTGCCACAGGAAAAATCTATTTTTTTAAATGTTTCTGTATAAACACCAAGGTTTTATCGAGGTTTTAATGTGGTACAAATGCTGTCACAAGCATCAAATTAACTTAATAGCTTTATTTATACCCTAAAAATAGACATGATGAGTCTTTTGTTTGCGAAAAGATGATAAAACACAAACAAAGTTTCTCTAGAAAGTGGACTTCTTGCTCAAGGTTAATGCCGAACTAATGAATTCACTAATGAATTCACTAAAGTGATGCTAGCAGCGGTGATAGGAGGGATCTTAGTTAGGGCACAGGGAGAAAAGTGAAAAAGAAACAGGAAAAAATATTGGTTTTGGTCATTCTGTGAGTCCCCCTTAATGTTCCAAAGCAAAGTGTCAGACAGGCCAAGGCATTTCTGATAAGAAATGTCACGTTTCCATCCATATTCATAAACAATTTACAGTCAAAGGAAAGAACATTTTTATTCTGAAGAGAAAAAATAAAAAATCTGTTAAAAACATAAACCCAGTCCATAAGTCCATGTTAAAGTTACTTTGAAAAGAAATAGCAAGAACTAAATTTGAAAAAACTTGAAAAGTATGTATTTCAAGGCTCATCAATTCCAATTTTGTTTTTTTGGTTTGTTTTTTTTTGTTTTTTACCTTGAAGCAGGTAGTCCGTAGCTTCATTCTCCACCTCTGGGCTGAGTTGCCTGGTCTTCTGCAGGTACTTCAGGACAAAGACGTTTGGAGCAAAGTGGATCATGTTTTGCTCCCCACATCCAAAAGGCAGCCTCAGCAGTTTGTCCAGGTTGTTTAGAGTTGGTCCCATGACGTCCCCTTTGAAAAGCATTCAGATACACAGAAAAAATTAACGTTACTCCAACTTCTGAGATTTTGAGATGCATGCGTGATTGTGACTGTGGAAAAGGATCCCGATCAAAAACCGGTTTACCGATCATAAATGCGTTAGCCCTTTCTGATCCGGGCACCATGTTCTGTGGGACGCCTAGTGTGAAAGCCTCATTGTGGTTATCATCCGAATCTTCCTTCTTCCAGATCTTAAACTCCCCCACTGAGCCCCAGCCTGTTGAGAACCCAATGTGTTGCACCTGCATTGACGCACACACAAAAATAAGGATGAATAATGACGTAAAAAAAAATCATCAACATTTCAGAAACAAGTGATAAAGCATTGTGAACTTGTGAACGGATCCAATAAGTGTCAAACCTGTCCTGGAAACTGCCCAGACCACTGAAGGATGACCGATTCATTGGACGGTTTTAAACCATGGCCCACCTGGAGAGGAAATCACAGAAGCACAACATGTCCTCATGTTCTTGTTTTTTTGTTTACTATTTTAACACTTTTCATTAATGCCACATCATTATTATTTTTTTTAAACTTTCAACTCTTTATCCCTTTCAATTAATGGGGAACAGTGGTTTCCTTGCCTGTAACGCGCCACCTTTCCAACTGATCCAGAAGCTGCGGAACTCGTCCCAGGATAAGATGCCCGGAGTCGGGACGCTGACCAGCGGGTCGCCCATTTTGCCCGCGGATATCCACGACCGGGTGTTCTGCCGGCCGCCCAGAACTATCTCCATCATGTCGGCGCTGTCGTGGGGACTCGCCGACAGGGCGAAGTGGGCGTCGTTGTGGGTCTTCACAGCCACGACAAACTGGGTCATCTTGGTGGGTTTTTTGACGTACTGATACTCGTACTTGTTGGGGGTGGAAATGTGAATCCTCTCTGAAGATGGAAACAAAAAATAGGTAGGTAAATAGATAGGAGAGATTAGATAGATAGATAGATAGATAGATAGATAGATAGATAGATAGATAGATAGATAGATAGG